ACAGTGCCTATCTGGAGAGCTTGTGAGATGAAAGGTCTCTTACACTCTTTTTCCAGGTGGGCTGTAATACACAGAAATTTGTGGCTATGTGGGAAGTCAGTGACAGAGCTGGGAATTATCTCCAATCCTAATGTTCAAGCTGGAAATACGAGGAGGGAAACTGCCATTTATTCCTCAGGTGCAGTAGATCTTAAAATGTAATTCTGGACTCTCCCATAAAACCAAAGAATTGCTAGACTTAGCCCAAATGTTTTATTTTTAAGATTCAACTAAAATTTTCAAAACAAAATTCAGCTTGGGGAGGGGGGGAAACAAACCACTTCTCTAAATGCTTTCAGCTGCCCATTGCCCCACTACAACACAGCTCTCCATAAAACACTGCACACTGTTTTCTGTTTCTAATGGTGAGAGCTGAGTCAGTAACAGAGTTGTCAGCATACACCAGACCCTTGCTGGAAAGGTGCACTTCTCAAAGTTGCTTCCCTCTCTGAATCCAGAGCAAGAAAGCTCTTGCCTAAATCCTTTCATGTATGCCCAATATTTCAGTTGTTGCAGTACTATTTCAGGTGTTCATTATAGGGTTGGAACAGTGGTATTTGGACAATTCACAGCAATTTCTCACAGCAGTTCAGTGGACTTTATATTTTGGATAAAGTTTTGGATAAAGTTTTGAATTCCCATGAATGTGTGATTTAAGGATTTGAGGACCACATGAACACCTATGTATTGAAGACAGTTTTCTGTAGTTCTCAGTCTGAGATATGCATGCACATGTAGGAGAAATCCGTTTTACAGACAGCAAACCTAGAAGGAGATTCCTTTTCCTTTAGCTTTCTGCCAGGCAAAAGGCTTCACTGCTCCCATTCTCTGCTGGATTTTCCCTACTGATACACCAAGACAAACAAAAGGACTCTGGACCATCCAAAACAATGGAGGTAGCTGCAGTTGCCTCAGATCTGAGGGTGACCTGCAAAGCCTTGCTCCTGGGGAGGATGCAGTAGAACAATGTCATCCTTGTTTGCACTTATTTAAATCAGTGCCTGGACTCTTTGCCTCCCCCTGTGCAGCACATCCCCTGCACAGGCTCACAAAGGGCTGTATTCATCAGTAAGCAGCAACTAGTTACAATCCTTTTGAAAGACAACAGGCTGTGCCAGCTCTAGCAGGGCTTGTTTTAAAGAGTTCATCCTTCCTCGCTCACACAAGCCTGGGGCTGTGTTGGCTGACTCCTGTGCATGCGGACAGGTTTGAGGGTCTAAGAACCAACTGGCGTGGTTTCCATGGGGTGGGAAAGGACTCCTTGGGTCAGCAAGTCTTGTTGAAGTGGTTACCTCCCCTGTGGGAGATGGATGACTTCCATCCCAGGAGCTGTTTGGTTTTGTGCCCACACTCCTCCCACGGACAAGCTGCTGCACAACCTTGCTGCTCCAAATGGGGTGAACTTTCTTTGCATTTGCAGCCTCAATTTATTCATGGCCAGTTTGCTCCCATTTGTTCCCATGCCAGCACTGGCCATTAGCTTAAATGGTTCTCCCTGGCACTAGATTTACTCATCTTAGTGTGTTTGTAGGGAGCAAGCAACTCCTTACAGCTTTCATTTTGTGAGGATGAGACTGAAACTGCTTTAGTTCTGTTGCAGAGAGGCAACAATGCTCAGTCCTCCCCATTACCCAGCTCTTCTCTTGAGCTAAGCTGAATTTACATGCCCTGAGTCTTCCCAGGACGGGCCAGGCAGGATGATCACAGCCTGGCTGAGCCTAGATGCTGAGGCTGCAGCTGCAAAAGCAAAGACTGAGCCAGCCACGGTGGTGGAGTAGAGTAGGGAGGGGAGAGCTCCCAACAGACTTGAGTGGAGGAAAAATTGATTGTGGTGGTGATGTGAAAACACTGCAATGTAAAAAAACCAATGTATGCTTAATGAACTCTTGTCAGTCAACCTTAATGTAGAGAGCAGGGCTGCCCTGCCTTTCCTTGTCTCCCTTCCACGTCACATCTCTCTGCATTCTCCATCCTGTCCCACATCCTTCCCTCTGTCTGTCCAACCTCTCCTCCTGCCACTCTCCTTCCTTGCTTTCTTTCTGGAAAAGTCTTTCACAGTCCAATTCTGGACTGTACTGGGAGGCTAGTCGGAGATTAGCAAGGTGATCGCTATCCCAGAAGTCATCCCCAGCAGCCACTAAATGCTCTGAAGGCAGCTAAGGAAGAGCTTTATACAGGTTTAAACTGCTACCTGTGCTGATGAGCTGTGGAGGGCTCTGTGTTGGGCTCCTGTTTGGTAGTGAATTTCCTCCCACTCTCATCAAAATCCAGAGGTCCCCAGGGTGTTCCCTGAAACTTTGGCTCAAACCAAAAGCATGACTGAAAATTATTGTATGACATTCAAGCAAGAAAAGGCCATCATTTCTAGTGCACATATATACAAGCATGAGCTCAGTTCCTGAAATTCAGACCCCTAATCCAACCTTGGCCCTGTAGACTTCACAAATTAAATCAGCTTCTCCTAAATTCCTCCTGTCTCCCAGTCTCTCATCCTGTCTCATGATGCCCAGCAAGAGACAGCCCCCAGTGGAGGTTGTTTCTGTGGCAGCTCTAAAAGTCACCCTTTGGATGATCCTAGAACTGCACATCTTCCTCCCATCAAAAGGACCAGGCACTTAAGCAAAGAGATAATGGACAATCATAAATTGCTCTATGTTGCAGTAGTCCCTGTTGCTGCCTGGGAGATGCATTTGTCACCTAGCAACGACATAAGGTGATGAGGAAATAACAGATTTTTAATCTAATGGCCATGAGTTAACATCTATCAGAGAGCAACCTCCCAAGACCACTGATGAGGTGGATATAATTGATTGAGGAGGCAAGAGATACCAAACTTTTCATCAGTAAGTGGATGAGGAGGAGGGAGCAGGGGTTACCTTCATGTATATATATATATGTATGCTTGCATATGTCTATCTCCTCATGGGTGGAATGACAAAAAGCCTAGAAAAATCCCTCAGACTGGAGATAACCCTTGGACACAGAGCTACCCAGAAGATGAGTCTCTCAGTATTGCAAAACCCGGAAGGCAGTAGTGTCACAGTAGGCAGGGAGCAGGCAGGAGGGGTTGCAGCCCACCAAGGGTTTTGGTGTCAGGTCCTAGCTGTCTTAGAGCAAGTGCTGGGGCTCTTTATAACATTCATATATTCAAGCTGCTCAGCAGATCATGGACAGGGAGAGTTTTCCTGTTGACGCAGCAGTTCTTTTCAATATTGGGATCATGCCTGAAGCAAAAGACTGGGCTGTTTGCTGACCATCTCTTAGCCAACTCTCTCTCCCCTTGACATTGTTACCAAGAGTACAGGGACAGGCTCCACAAACTGCCAGCATCACTTGAAACCTCTGTATGGGACCAGCCAGCAGAAAACTTCAAAGTTTACCTCAAGGCCAGGAAGCCGAGCAGCGGCAGAATTCAATTCTTCCCCTTTTCTTCTAGAAATAGACCCAGAACAGATGCTATGTGTTATTTTTCAGTAGCAGGAGCTCATTGTGGTACCTGCCCCCTGAAATACTGGGGATGATCCATTCGGTAGTTTTAAATTGGAAGTACCCTGGGTGCTGGCGTGAGGGAAGTAATTGTGAGAGGAAGAAATCTGAAATTAGTTCCCTGATGGATGATCTCTTTGAAGCCTGAAATTGTAAGACTCACAAGGTTCCCAGCAAGGCTGTGCGCATTTTTATACTGCAGGAGCTTTTTCTTTTAAGAAAATAGCAAAGAAATTGGTTTGGCAATTTAGTGTTGAACAAAAGTGAAAAGTATCGGTCTGAACCAGGACACCAATGTGTTCAGACCATTTATATTGTGTAGCACATGCACTTAGCACCATTATGAGAGATGATTTCTCAGAGAGCATCGTTTTGGAGCCTTGCCTTTAATTAGTAGTGAGCTGAAAGTAAACATTTGAGAACACCAGTGTTTGGACTGGGTTTATGCAAAACTTTAACAATAAATAACAAACCTGGGATGAGTATGTGTATCAGAGTTGGTTAGACTTCTTAACCTTTTAGTTGAAGCAAAGCCACAGAGGTATATCTCAAGAATAGCTTACCTTTGTCAATCATTACTGAAGTAATGGCATCACAACATAATGCTTAACTTCTGGAGTGATGGCTAAACATATTCACGGCAACACCCTTTGTGTTAAATCTGGAAGAGCCATAGTTAATGGTGCATTTCAGCCACAGGCTGTAAACTTCAGTGACAATCTATTACCGACTGCCAAACAAACGGGAATAGTCCATTCTGCAGTGACCAAAGGAGCTACAGTGCGAACCATCTTTCACCTCTAAACAAACTACATCATCTGGATGTATCCATTAGGATCAAATCAGTCCTTATATTGTGCAATGAAATTTTGTATCCCTTGTGAGAACCGCTGGGGGGGGGTGTGTTTTTTCGAATGCATTGTCCTAGCAAACCAACCCCTGGCAGCTGCATAAGAGCAGTAAAGGTGATGGTAGTGGTTGTCTCAGGCTGAGAAGAATTTCCTTCATTCTTGGTGCCTATGTTTGAGGTGGCAGGAACAGTGCATAGGATATGGTTGGAGGTAGCTCTGCTCTTTCTGTAATGCCAGAATTGCAGCTGAAGGCAACATGTAATGAAAGCATGGCCTCACAATACGGTCTCCAGTGATTCTTTATTTGTACCAGGTCCTGTTAAATACAGCCGTGGGTTAATATGGAACTAAGCTTCAGCAACAGGAATTTGTGAACAGCTATGAAAATACCGAAACAACTGCAAGGTGCTGACCTTAAACTAGTGTTCCTTTAACTTCTGGCAGCTGTTTGAGTGTGTCCATGCAAACCCAAATTCGTTCCCTGGCTAGCGGTAATTTCTGAAGCACGGGAAGCCATTGGGTAACGTGTTGTCTGGCTGAAGGCACAATGTGCAGAGAAGTTTTAAAAGCTCCAAATTACAGAGGGTAAAACATTCCCACATTTCCACATTTCTCCTGCTAGTGATGCAGAGACCTGGAGCTTTGTGTTTCGCTTCATGGATCACAGGAACTGGAGTTCTGTGTTTAACCTTCTTCCAGGTAACCAAACTCTTCACTGGGACCAGGCTGATTTTAGGGATTTTTGTGGGAGGAAGATTTCAACTTTTATAGAATTTAGTCATCAGCCCTTTTTATTTTGGGGGGAAGAATTTTTGGAGGACCCGATGAATTTGGTAAGGATTTAATGTTTACAACAATGCCAATTAATGCAGAGAAAACATGACTGCCCTAATCCTTTATTCTGTCTATGGCTATTGAAATGGAAGAGCACAGCAGCACAGGTGGGTGTTTGGCTGAATTGATAGATTACTGCCTCAGACCAAATGCACTTTCCTGCAGTTTAACTACGCTAAGGTAGCTCTGCTGAGGAAGTTTGAAGGATGATAAAAGAGAATCCAGAGGTGTCCTTCAGCCATGAAGGGGCTGAAGGGTACACATAATCATAGCAATCAGTTGTCTGGTTTTGACCTGTTATTCTAATAATCAGTTGAAGTGAAAAAGAAAAAAAAAAAAAATATTCTGCACCAGGGTGCATGTGTGACATTGCAAATTAGTTCAGTTTTAAAAGGACATGTCTGGAAGAGTTGAAGCTTCTGTCTTTTTCTCCGTTCCTCATTTGGGTTTCAACTGCTTACAAAATTTCATAGGTAATGTTTTATATTAAAGACTTACTATACAGAAAGACCACTTGTGAAACTAAGGACCAAAAGGCACTGTGTGCACAGGATCAGACATGTTAGAGATTTGTGGGGTGATTTCTTGCTGTTTGCAGTGACAGAAGCTTTGCACAACAAAATCCTTAAAGAAGTACTGATAATTAAAGATGTACTATGAGATCTCTCAATTATACGTATTTGGTACAAATTTCTAATACAGAACAGAGCTTTCCAGTTTGGCTCAAAGAAAGTCAGAAATCTCTACGTATTTTGGATATACACAGAAGGAAATCCAAAGTAAAGTAATGATTTATAAATTACATTCTAATACTTTTCTCCAAGAAACAAATCTATACTCTTCCATCTTGCTAATTCTGCTTCCCAGTGTTACTGCAATTCTGTAACTGATCTGAAGTTTTTTGTAGCGAAGTTGGGCAAGTGTTACAACACACCTAACTCCAGTCAGCCAAAAATTGTGTTGAATTTGATTGAATCATACTGCTGAACAACT